GTATATAAGTCTAACTGCTATTGCTATTGCTATTGCTATTGCTATCAATAAGAGTAGGGATCAATAGTAAGTAAATAATAAAATCAATAGTAGGGACGCGGCGGCTCAGTGGCGAAGACCCTGAGCTTGTCATTCAGAAAGGTTGGCAGTTCGAATCCCCAGCGCCGCCTAACGGAGTGAGCTCCCCGTGACTCGTCCCAGCTTCTGCCAACCTAGCAGTTCGAAAGCAAGTAAAAAATGCAAGTAGAAAAATAGGAGCCACCTTTGGTGGGAAGGGAACAGCGTTCCGTGCGCCTTTCAGCGTTGAGTCATGCCGGCCACATGACCCCGGAGACGTCTCCGGACAGCGCTGGCTCTTGGGCTTTGAAACGGGGATGAGCACCGCCCCCTAGAGTCGGGAACGACTAGCACACATGTGCGAAGGGAACCGTTCCCTTTAATCAATAATAAGGCAATAATTATAACGCTACGAAGGCTTAGATAAGGCAGGATCAAAATGTCCCCATCCAGCCTGGTTAACCACTTTGCAATTATATTAGTAAGACAATAATTATAATTCGTAATATAATTACAAAAACAGGAAGCTTCCCGAGGATTTTTGCTTCCTCGTTTTGTTTTCTTTCCTGAATGCTCCTCCCATCCTCCCTGCGAGTCGATTAAATTTTCGGTTGCTTCTCCCGGAACCACTTTCTCTTTCGTTCCGAACGCTTCCACCTTCACCTTTTGAGCAAACAATCGGGAATGTTTGCAAACTTGCTTCCTGCTTTTGTTTAAAGAGCCGGAGGTGGGGGGGGGGCTGTTGGCTGAAGGGACGAGAGGCCACCCCCCCACTCCAAAAAAAAAGGTAATCTGAATTTAGCTTCCTTCGTCAGCAGAAAGGAAGGAGGGTAACTGAGGTTTACGATCGGGGTTTAATTGTATCTTGGCTCTCGGGAATTCCTAGTGTGGTGTGACGATGCAGGGAGTGGGGGGGAAAGCAGAGTGCAGCCTCCTGTTTTTGCATGGGAGGGGGCTTTATATTCCTGCAGGGATCCTTCCCCCCCCTCTCAATTTCTACTTTGTAGGCTTTGAGCTGCAGAGAGTAACAAGGAAGCTGTCACCCAGCCAAGGATGAAGGAGATTATAGCAGGGGTGAAATGCTATTAGTTCGGAACGGTTCGTCCGAACCGCTAGTAAAAAATGCTACAGGTTCGCCCGAACCGGTAGCGAAATAAATGATCAGACGATCAGCTGTGACGCGCGATTTAGATCCAGCTAATCTAAATCGTGTGGCACTACGGATTCCCTCTCCCCCCCCCGCCTCGCTGTTCGCCTACCTTTGCAGGCGCTTGGTAGCAGGCTCCGCCCACCCGCCCAGACGTCATCACGTGCGTTTCTGATGCTCTGTGCATGCGCGGGAGATCCTGCGCATGCGGAGAGGTGGCAGGTGTGACCACATTGCTACCGAACCATTAGCAAAGGTAAGTGGATTTCGCCCCTGGATTGGAGTCCAAATTCCAGGCTTCCAAATAGGGAGGGTGAAGTTACTGGCTTTGTGGGTGGGTGGGCTGTGCCTCCCCCTCCACCCAATGATATGTCTGTTTTATTGTGGTGTCCAGAATTAACGTTTTTTTTTTCTCGTCATATTCTCTCTTCCTTCCCTCTCTCCTGTCTCTGCAACCTGCACCCTGCTTTCGGATCCCTTTCCTGCTTCTATTCCCCCTCCCTTTTTATTTCTCTCTGCGCCATCCTCGTGTTCTCCTACTGGCTCCCCAATATTTCTTTCTGCCACCCCAAAACTCTCCATCTGTCTGGTTCTTGTCTAAAAAACCCCGGCTGCTATTTTTTGGGACTCTGACTTGGCATCTTCTGCGTTTCTCGTCCTTCGTTCCCGCCGTCTGCAGCTCACCAGATCCTCCCTCGGCCGCGGGGTCTCCTCGTCCCTTTCCCCCCAGCAAGAGGGCAGGCTGCTGGACCCTCTTCTCCTCTTTCCCACCCTCCCAGCTTTGAGAATGCGGCTCAGCTGCCCCCTGACCCATCCGTGGCAGCCTTTTGCCCAAGGCTGAAGACTCTTTCGTGCGAAGACGTTTGCTTATTGGCAACCCGGCAGGGACCGCTTTTCGACGCAGTGTCTCCAGACCTCCCCGTCCGTCTCTCGCCCATCGGGGCGTATTCCCCACCAGCTCGAAGCCTGCTCCCCTTCCTCAGCAGCCCTGATCTGGCTGTCCTGTTCTCTCCTTTCTTCCCCTCCAGCAAATCCTTCCCTGTCTTAGCTTTCCCCACCCACCAGGTGCCCGAGCTGTCATTTGGAGCCCGAGACCCCCTGGGAAAGCAGGGTGGAAAGGGTCCCTGGGGGAAAGCTATGAGCGCCAAGGAGTCGGGAGCCCCTCGCCAACGTAAGCCACTCCCCCTCTTCCTCGATGGCGCTTTGCGATCGGTGCTGCCTTTTTGAGGGGGGGGAGGAGGAGGAAAGAAGGACCCAAAAAGCAGAGGAGGCTTAGCGCAAGAGGAGGGAGGTGGTCTCAGCGAGAAATAGCCTTCCCTGATTTAATAAATTGACGCCGGAAAAACTCACCAAGGTGAACGCACCAGCCTTTGGAGTTTCTTCCCGTAGTGCAATATTTAAATCAGCGTTTTCCCACAACTTGAAGATGTGTGGACTCCAATTCCCAGAATTTCCCCCACCCACCCCCGCCAGCATAGCCAGAGCCGAGGTGGCACAGTGGTTAAATGCAGCACTGCAGGCTACTTCAGCTGACTGCAGTTCTGCAGTTTGGCTGTTCAAATCTCACCGGCTCAGGGTTGACTCAGCCTTCCATCCTTCCAAGGTGGGTAAAATGAGGACCCGGATTGTTGTTGGGGGCAATATGCAGGAGAACTGCATGCCTCATCTAGTCTGATTGTTTAGGCGCTCGAGCAGAGTTAAGCGAGGGTTAAAAGCCTAAAAAAATCCCAAGGTAGTTGAGGCACGCAGTTCTCTTGCCTCATAGTAGAG